TTCATCGTCTTTATTACACTGATTTAGAAAATCTAACCTTAGAGCAGATGGTTTTCAACAGGTTGTTTTATATCACAGACATTTAAAAACACAGCCTCAACACAAAGCACTTAGAGAAAACTATCTAATATGCAACCTTTGTGTTCATATTAACACACTATTCTGAAAAGTAAGCTGATTTTATCATCGATTTGTAGCTTATCAACTTAGAAAGGATTTACTGAGGATGCTGCTGTGGGTCTGTGGTTGATTTTTTTTCCCCTTATTTTCTGTATCTCACTGTCAACTTTTTTGAAAGAACTGTCTGTATTTATAACCTTCTCACTTCCCATTTACACCTTCACCCACTGCAATCTTGCTTCTGAAACCACCAATTGACTGATTTTTCTCTTGCCAAGTTCTAGTAGCAAATCCCACAGTAACTTTGGAATCCTTATCTTGTTTGACCTCCAGAGACTCGGCATTGTTGATTTTCCTGTCTTCTTCTGGCTTCCATGGCTGCATCTCTAATATTTTTTAACTGTCACAGTACAGTTTTACTGGAATTTAGTAAGAGCTCAATAAATATTTGTTGAATCAATGAACAGACGAATGTGACTTCCTATGTCCAAGAGAAGGCAAAAAATAGAGAGAAAACAGGTATTTTGCATTGCTGCCATTAAACAACAAAAAGTAACAACCCCAATCTGTTGATAAGGATATTGTTTATCCTGTAAATTTTTTCTCTCACTTCTTTACTGTTGCCATTCTTAAAGCTTAAGGCAAAGCCTATTTCTTCTACGGAGCCACCCTATATTCCATCAGAATTAATTCTATTTACACTTCTATTTAGTATGCTGACATGTAGTTCTATTTATATTTCTCTTTACCATGCTTGAAATTGTTCCTTATATAATAGTTGCTTACAGTTTTTCACTCCACTAAGTTAGAAACACCCAAAACATAGAAACCCTTATTCCTCATTGTATTACTCTCAGATAATGCCTGACAGATATATGTGCTCAATAACTGTTGGATTGAATTTCAAAGAAAAATTCCTTAAAAATATGAAGTTCTAAAATATATTTATAAATCATTTAGGCACATTAGTTCCATTATTCCGTATGCTCAAATAATTAAAAGTGACAGTCATTTTTTGTTTCTGTTTAATAGAGTCAACACTTCATGGAAATTTTCAAAGTTGTAAACTTGACAAAACATTGATCTAATATTTTTTAACAAAACAATGATCTAATATTTAGTTAAGCAACCATGTTAAATTTATATGAAAATATATAAATTTATATTTACATCAATTTATATGAATAACATTGGGTGTGCTTTGTGTGAATTATATTTAGAATGATGTTTCATTTTGAACATGATGTTTTACATTTCTTTTGAACTTCACCAACTCTTTAAAACATATTTTATTTGCTGTTACTTTCCTTAGGAATTGAATAATGCTAGAAATAGAGACAAAGAGGCTTTAAAATGACACTTTTAAAGACTTTTAAAGACTCGACATTAGTGACTGTGATTGGGAGCAATAGCCAACATCACAAATTGGCCTGGTACTAAAAAGATTAAGCCATGCCCTTAAAATTTGCCATAAAAACATTTTATTATCTTTTATGTGACTTCTCTAATCTTTTTTTTCTATGACATTTACAGAAGGGAAATTTCAATAAAAAAAGTAAGTGGAAATGTTACATGTTACGTCTTGAGTCTCCCACACATACTAATTCAGATCGTAATTGATTTCTGTGAAGTAATAAAAAGGAAATCTCCACACATAGAGTACTACACACATAGTGTTGAAGGCTATATGCATTCCTAGTAGGTGCTGCTGTGTTTTGGTAAGTATATTGAAGGGAAAAGAGAAAGTCTGGAATCTGGGAGCCATTGGCACATTGAACAAGCAAAGTGATAGTAGGAGATTAAGGTATCTGTGGGACACTTGAAACATAGGTTGGGGATGGCAGGCAAAATGTTGAGAGAAATTCAATGACATCTGAATTGTCTAAATCTCTCTGCCAAACGTTAACATTGATTCCCTTGGTAGGATCCCTTCTCTTGGAAATGAAGCAAGAATTGATGTAAGCCCCTGGATGGTAGGATTCAGAGTCTTTGGCTAAGGAAACAGACCAGAGGAACCTGACAGCTTAGGTTCATGATGTATGTCATCCCTTAGGGAACAATGAAGGGCACTGTTCTGCAATAGGTAAGAGTAGACTAGGACTAAGCACTGGCTTTGAAGACACACATTCAAGTGCCAGCTCTGCTGCTCATGAGCTCTGAGGCCATGTCCAAGTCACCTATAATCCCTGAGTCTTGGTTTCTTCAGTAAGTGATATACTAGCATTGTGAGGATTAAATCACATAACACATCTGGAATTTCCTAGTATATCTAGAACTTAAGAGCCCAAAGGATTGAGTTTAATTTGAGTACAAAAACTATAATTTTTCCATTTTTCCTTTGGAATGTGTCAGACCTAGAGTGTCATTACAAAAATTCTTGTTACTTGTTTGTTCTGCCTATTCCTCAATACAGTGTTCACTCTCTGCCCCAATATATAGATTTTTATTGCTTAATTAAGAAAATATTCTTACTCGTCAGATAATGGTCTCTAACTTCTCCCTTAAAATTTCCTTAAAAATGTAATGCCATAAACTATATGAAGCCTTCCCTAAAGGACAGATGCTCAAGTCATCTTAATCAGTGGTCAAGCCAGCACATTCTACATTGAGTATACCCCTAGTTGACTTAAAAATTCATCGGTGTTAATGATCACATTTTGTTCACCCAACGTGGCATGCCAGCTCACTGTGAAGCTCCAATGTTCCCACTAAATTATTTTTCACCTCCCTGAAATCCTCTACTCCTTGGGAATGCCTGCTCACAAAGTTTGCCACCACTATTTATTAGTGACCCAAACCAGAAGCCAAGAGTCATTCTCAACTTCTTCTCATCCACCCCATTCATTTAACCACTAAGATCTGTCTATTTTACTGCCTCATCAATTTTAGACTCTTCCCTCCTTCTTACTGCTTTAACCCTGTCCTATTGCTCATTATCTCTTGATAGAACATAGAAAAAGCCTTATCACTGCTCACCAGTTCTTTCTGTTGTTCCGTCCCAGCTTCACACTGTAGCCAAAATGATCTATTTATATGGAAGATCTATAATCTTGACACTCCTATACCTGAAAAGCTCTATTAGTTTCCCCATTTACTGGTGAAAAAATAATCAGAATCCCAGATTATTTTTAGAGTTACTATCACTTGGTTCTTGCTGTCTTCCTTTTTCTCAAATTTTATGCCTCAATAATACCAAGCAGATTTTAGTTCCCTTGGCACACACCATGCTATTTAACCCTTCTACACTCTTTGCAAGCTCTTAACTCTTGCTTAGATTTTCCTTTCTAGTTTCTTCTCATGTGTAACACATCTTAATCTTTCAGGCTTAACTCAGAAGGTCTCTCCTTTAGGAAAATGTTTGCAAATCTCTAGAATCTCACTCCTTTCTTCTTTCATAGAAACTTGTGTTTACTGTGATTTGACTACTTACCACACTGCATTGACGTGGTTTCTTCACCTGTCAGGGTCTCACATAGTACCAACAATATTTTGAAGATAAAGGGCATATCTTACCTAGCTCCTCTAGGTAGAGATGGTTAGCTACTGTCACCTAGATTCCCAGAACTACCCAGGTTCAACTTTGTTTCCTATTTGTCTCTTCAATTAATTGGGCCACCCAAGAACCCTCCAATAATTTATTTTTTTGAAATAAGAAAGTCAGAGTTATCTTCTGACACTCTTAACCAAAGAACCCTACTATTTCAGTATTTTAAAATTTCATAGGATAATTTATGCTGATATTTCCACAGTAGCTCCCACTATGCCCCAGAATTAACTATGGTCTCTAAAGTCTTCTATTATTTGATGCTGGCATATACACAAAAATATATTATAGATATAAATATACATGCACACATATACATATAAATGTCAAAATCTTTTCCTCAATAAAATAGCTCCATCTGGCAAAATTTCTCTCTTAATGTAAGGTCCTGAAAGCAGTATTGTGTTTTGTTCCCTGATGTATCTCAGCATCTAGACAAGTACTTAGAACATAGTAGGTCTTCAATAATATCTGTTGAATGAGAGAATAAATTAATGAATGAGCTGAATGATTTACTTTTCTTACAGAATTAAAAATATCAACTCTGAGGACAAAAGATTGCATTCACCAATATTGCTCAAGAAATAAAATTTATTTTCTAGATGATTCTTAGTTTTATAATTTCTAATCAAATAGACTAACTTAGTTTAAGTCTTGACATATTTTGCCAAGATCAGTTGCAGAATCTGAAACCCAGGTATTAAACTGAAGCTTTCAGTCCTTCCCAGGCAATCTGTACCTATAACTCAGCTGACAATTGATACATGATCAAACTGGACAGAGGTTTTCATCACCTGATTCTTTTTATATTCTCAGCTATTATAAAACTTGATTCAATAAATACTATAAATAACTCTTTAGGTAGGTTTTATTTTACTTCCTATGCAATGGTTTTAACAATGTGATGGAATGTTCTTAACAGGAATGACTAAAATCATGTGGCTTTCGTACACTTTTTGAACAGTCAACGTTTTTATTTCTTATTTCCAGAGAGTCAGAATAATTCAGCGTCTAATTCCAGAGTGAAATAAGGTAATCATTCACTTTCATTAGTTAAGCATCACCAAAAATAAAGTCTATCTAGCCCGAACAAAATGTGTGTGCGTGTGTGTGTGTGTGTGTATACCAAATGTGGAATCATACAAATAGATGTAAATGACAACCAGTTGAAATATGAGCACATGCAAGGATGTGAAAGCATGAAGGCAATTTTGAGAGGAAATGAGGAGAAGAAATAGTGCTATAAGTATTGTTCTGGAATGAACAGATTTTTCTTATAGATTTTGTATAAAATATATCGTTTGTGTTCTTTCGAAATCAAATCTATTCAACTCACCTTCATATAACCAGTCAGCAATCCCATTAAAAATAATTCCTTCTTTTCCAGAAGATGTCAGTCTCAATGAACTGCTCTTTATATCAGGTTGATAGTAGATATTATTTTCAAAAATATAAATCTGGATCAGGAAACATGTAAAACAAACAAACCAAAAAATCTGACATGTTAGGAAGCCTTTTATTTTTAACTTTCATATCACAGAATAATAGCTGAAGAGCTCAGTGTTTTATTATTTGCCTGCTTTCAATTTGTTTTTATTTAATGCATATATTTGTATTGCTTTCAATCATTAATGGTTGTTTTTTTCCCTATTATATCAATACCAAGTTGTCATTTGGAAATTACATGGTACTCAGTATTGAAGTTTTTAAATTCATATTTTTAACAACAATTTTTTATCTACTTAATCTCTTTCTCATACCACAAAATTGGTTTGGGTTTTAGATAACATTTTGCATACTTAAGAGACTGATAACTATCCTAGATACCATTTTAGTAACTGCCAAGTGACTGCTTGAAAAGCTTCAATTTGGGGTCTTTACTTTTACGAAAATGTATTTAGTGATCAATAAATCTAAAGATCTAATCTTTAGAGAATCTCTCTGATTCTATCCAGCTCATCTCACAGATTTACTGATGAAAGAAAAGAATGGAAAATCCTTTAATTTGATAAGTGGAACACACTTCCCTATGCCCCAGTCTTCTCTGGCAATTCTTTCCTAAATAGCATGGCAGTAATGATAACCTTGTGCCTGAGGGTTCAAGAAAGAGTTTTAATTTGAACATATCACAGAGTCTTCCAAAATAATATCAACAATAGCTCCAACAACAGGAACATAGTGGAAATTAAGCTAAAATGTCTGTCTACACAAAAGGATGTGTCTTTAATAGAGATAATTCAAGATAACATCATGTATAATCCACTTTAAAATATTTTTAAGGCCAAACATTTTAAACTGCTGGCCTGTGTGATAATATAACTTTCACAGAACCACATTTTATCCACATGTTTGGAGAAGTATAATATTGTCCAGTGCAAGCCAAATAGCTACTTAGATTGAACATTCTACTAAGAAGGTGAAAGATGGACTAGTGCCCATGTGTTCCAGCATGTTACAGGATCATTACACAATAGCAAATAGAGCAAATACAAAAACTTCTGAGATAATTTTCTGATTAACTATGAGGTCCTAGATTTTAAATCTTGGTGTACAGTGATGAAAGCAATCTTAATATCTAGAAAATTTCACTGATATTCTATTTTGATTCTGGTGACTTGGCAAGCATTTAACAGTGAGTGTATCTAATAAATAATTCCACCACTACTTGTCATTTACATTACAGGTGAGAACGCAATACAAGAATAAGAATTTTGTGGGAAAAAAACAGAAAGATATAGCAGGATGTTTAAAAGCATGAGCTTTATAATCAGGCAGCCTATGTTTAAAATCTGAGTGACTGATAATTTTCTTAACCTTTCTAAATCTCAGTCTTCTCATTTATAAAATGTGGATAAGTCTCACACCTACCTTAGAGATCTGTTGTGAAGAATAAGTGAGAGGATGAATATAGAACATAGAGCACATGTGGCTATTACTAGAAGTGGTGCTGAGCTCACATAAGATAATTTGGTTCAAAATCCTAAGCTTTTAGGATGCTACAAACTCTAAATCAAAATAAAATCTCTACGGTTTCAGCCGATGTGTAAACTATCCCCAACTACTGAGCAGCAGTACATATACTGTTGGTTAAATATATATTAGGAGGACAAGTAGAATAGTAATAGCCGTAGTGGTAGTACTAGGAGGAGGTGCAGGAGAGGTATTAACAAACGACATTTACTGCTTTCACTTCACTTAGCAAGTTTTCAAGTGATAATAGGAAATAAGCTTATTATTGAAAGTATGGGGGTTGCACTTTGGCAAAAGTTTGAGAACTATATCTCAGGTGTCTTAAAACTGAATGGAAGTTGGGGTGGGCCTGGTGGCATAGTGGTTAAGTTCGTGCACTCTGTTTCGGCGGCCCAGGGTTCGCGAGTTGCGATCCCAGGCACAGACCTACATACCACTCATCAAGCCATGCTGTGGCGGTGTCCCACATACAAAATAGAGGAAGACTGGCACAGATGTTAGCTCAGGGACAATCTTCCTCAAGCAGAAAGAGGAAGATTGGCAACAGATGTTAGCTCAGGGCTGATCTTCCTCACCAATAAAATAAACAAATAAAAACTGGATGGAAGTTGGTTTTAATGACTTTCACAGGCCCTCATAACTGAGAAAAAATATTAACTTTATTCTAACCATCTAAAGCTTAAGCTTTACATTTTTTGTATATTACCTCCTTTTGCCTTTCACAAACAGTATATGAAATAGGCACACGGAGTCTTCCTTACTTGAAGGGAATCCCCTCTTCTACCTGAATCTTCTATTAGGATTTGTGAGGAATAACAGTTCAGGTCATCCACACCCAGGCTACTTAAGCACATGTGGCTATCATTAGGAGTAGAGGTGACTTAACGCAAAGTAATATTGTTCCAAATCCTTAGCTTCCTGAAGGGAAAAAAATTCTAAGTCAAAGTGATTAATAAAACCTCCACGACTTCAGCAGATGTATAAATTATCCAAAACCATTGACCAGTAATTACATTTATATTTGAAGAACAGATTGGGTGGTATTCAGAATCCATATGAATCTGACATCTGCTTCAATATAAAAGAACAAGCAATATGGAATCAGAATTTTAATGCCATTCACTGAAAACTGCAATGCCAGGAAATGTCCACAAGATATTTCTTCTATAGACAAAGAATTAGTGGCTGCCTTCACGAAAATGTACATTTATAGTCTCCTAATCCTTTTTCAATTACCAAGGTTTTTCCTTGAATTATATGAGTTTCAAATAATAATCACAAACTATAAGCACTATGTTAACAATATGAGAGCTGCAAATATTCCCGAGTACTATCTGGGCACTTTGATGAAATTAAACTGGATCCAAATGGCAATCATCAAGGCCTGCAACTAGATTTAAATCACATTGAAATTATGGCAAATACTAATGCCATTTACCCTAATCTTACTGATTAAACTACCATTACCATTAATCAATTCCTTCAATGAGCTATGTAAACAGTATAACAAATAGAAATGGATAGCTATTTGACCATTTAACTATTCAATTTATACAGCAAGCCAAAGACCCAGTTTTTCAAAATCAATGGTCTTAATACACTCATGAAATAATTCAAAATTGGTAAAGTCATCTCAAAGGGAACAGGAAGACAAGTGAAATATTATGTGCTGAATTATGACAAGCTGAGAAATATGTAAAAAATGTTCCAAGAAATTATTCTAATCAATGTGTTAGTCGATATTGCTCATTACCAAGGGATTGAACACAACGTATGTCATTGCTGGGCAGGAGTCTTCCAACTGCCACAACCACCAGCAATGCTTCAGATGGTCGACACCCCAGCAGCCTGGACTGCTGGATGAAGAGACGTGAGGCACACTCCCTCCCCACCCCAGCCAACTTGTGATGGACATATAGCAAGAAGTGAACGTTTGATGTTAAAAGTCATTCAGATTTTGCGGTTGAGAGTAATCACAATGTAAATTAGCCTGCTGTGACTGATTCAACCAGAGACAATGCCTGATACAAACTTATAATAGCAGTCTCTCGTGAACTTTTAGCTAGCTTAAAAGAAAAAGAACAGCAAAATAAAACAGAAATATGATTGAATATTAGATCTATTTTAGCTGAAATATTACTGAAAAGCTATTCCATCTTCAGTGGTTTGAGTGATTTTCATTTTAATATTAAATTAGAAAATTGTGAATGATTCAAAAATCCCTGCACATTCTAATGATGTAGATCTGTAAAGTTATAGTCGAGTTAGGATAGTATTTGGATTGCCTTCCCCTGTGGCTTGCTTTCTGGGAAAAAAATATTGTAATTAAGAAACTATCCCAGGTAACATGCATTGCTGGCAGGGATGTGGTGAAAGGGGTTCTTTCCCATGTTGACTGTAAAAATGTAAAGTGTTATGATCATATGGGAAAGCAAGATGGCAATTGAAAACAAAACATATTCCACCCCACCAGCAATCCCAAACGTAGGACCTTGTCTTGTAAGAAAGAAACAAAAGCACCAATATGTGGAGAATGATGAAGAATGGTATTTATTTCAGCAGTGTTAATGATGGACAAAAAGGAGTCAAAGTGAAAATCCATCAAAGTGAATGTCTAGATTATGATTCACCTGCCTTATGTAATAACATTCACGCTTTGAGGAGAATAAATTAGTGCCACGTAAGTTGACTTGGAGGAGTTTCATTGAGATATTGTCGAGTGACAAGAGACCCAAAACAAAAAAAATGATTTCAACGTAAACCCATTTTTGAGCACCAGATAATGGTAATACGAATACAAACTTATATTAGCAGGAATCTCACCAACAGATATGCATTGGATACTGTCTGTTGGTACTCAACCTCACACCCGCCCATCTATAGTCTTTTATTACTATGGGTCGTTAGAAGCCTGTAATCTACATTTCCGAGACTCGCTTGCAAACTAGTCATCTCAGCTTCTTTGCTAGATGGATTCTAGTTACTTTCTGCAAAAAGGAGAGAGTTGCTAGTTAGGAATTGGAAGACATTTGCCACTGGCAGTGGCTCTAGCATGCCAGCTTGAGCAATAGTGTCTCGGTAGTAGTTTAAAATATAGATAAACATGAGGAAACTATAGTAATACATATATATATATGCATGTGTATATATACATATATATATACATAAACAATGACTATAGAAGGATATATGCTTGCCTTTTAATACGGGTGTATGTGTTGGAAGGTGAATGTACAGTGAGATAGAGAAGAGTGAAAAACAGATAGTCAAATAGAAAAGATTATGATAAAACACCAAAAAGGCTTGATTACATCTATGCTTGTGTGTAAATTACACAGGTTAGTACATGTATAATTAAAGTACCAACATTAACTTCAGTGATAATAAAAATAACCACAGTGATTCAGAAATTAGTATGGCATGTGGGCTACACGAACACAAAGTGCTTAATTTTTTTTTTTAATTTGAAACTAACGGTAATAGGTTGTTTTCTTAACCTAGAGCAGGGTTTTTCAACTTTGGCACTACTGACATTTACAGCCGGATATTTCTTTGTTGTGGAGGATGGTCCTGACACCGTAGGATGATTAGCAGCATCTCTCGCTTCTACAGACGACATACCAGTAGCAGCCCCTTCCCTCAGTTGTGACAACCAAAAATGTCTCCAGACATTACTCAATGTCCCCTGGAGGGAGGGGCAAAATCACCCCCAGTTAAGAACTACTGATTTTGAGTAAGTTTTTTGCGTTTATATGCTTCATAAATGAAATAATTTAATTCCCCAAACTTTTAAAAGCTAATTTGCAATTTAGCTTTTGTTGTTAGAAAGTACTCTGGGGTTATAAAGATTTTTAATGTGTAGTCTCCATCTTCAGAAAGATTATAATTTTATGTGAAACACAGGTAGGTAAACTTCTAAAACCCAATGAAGAAAAAACACATAATACAGGGCTTAGCCATGAGTGGCAGGTGTCAGGATGGTTCATGGAGACTTTTAAAAGATCCTGAGTTTAACTAGTGTCATAAAGGACAAGGAGTGTGTCCATGGGATTAGGAAGGGGGAGAGGAAGAAACGCCAGGCTGAGGGAACAGAATGAGCTAAAGCAAAAGCTGAACAACTATGGAAATATTAGAACAGTTCTATCAGATTCTGGACCTTCTATATACTTATCGCTGCTCTGAAAGTTATGATGGTGTCAAACCATACAGCAGCCTGAATGCTAGACCAAACAGTTTGAACCCCATTTTTTCAGTAATTGACAGCTTTAAGTTGTTTATGAGCAGGTGAGTGATTAGGAAAATAATTGGTGGCAATAAAAGAAGGGAAGGTGGAAATTGGAGACTGCCGGCAGAGGGAAAATTCAAATATTCTGCTTAATAGTGACGATAATTGTCAAAATGGAATCATTATTCCTAACGTATGACTTCCTGCTTGTGTCTAAAACATTTGCAAATTCTAATGCCGATGTTTTATTATCTCTCACTTGGATCCTTTTAAGCTTCACTCTCCAGAATCAATCATTGCAGTGTTTAACACTAGTATCATACTCTTCAAATCATATGCAAATCTCACCTTTTGCCCTGCCTAATAGCATTTGGGCTTTCAGACAACCATTGCCTTGGCTCCTTTTGGCTCCTGACCCATCAACCATACTCCGATCTCATCACACTCCCTGGTCCAACATTGGCTCCAAAATTTGTGTGGAACCTTTGCTTTTGCTTTACCAGGATCAAATTTTAATTTTCAATCATGCCAACTTATCAATTTCTTAAATAAATTAAGAAATAAATATTTGTTATTAAATGTAACCAAATATTTATTATTAAAATGAATTTAATGTAATATTATTTTGGAAATAAGTGACACCAAAGAAGATTTTGCATTGATTTAGAACCATTATTAGGGACAGATGTTATCATTTTTCCATAAACAAGAAAGTTTCATCATACGGACAGTTAAGACATACAATTATGGGGCTGGGCAAATGGCCAAATGGCATAGTGGTTGGGTTTCTGTGGTCTGCTTTGGCAGCCTGTGGTTTGCGGGTTCAATCCCCGGCCCAGACATACACACTGCTCATCGAGCTATGCTTTGGCGGCATCCCACATACAAAGTAAAGGAAGGTTGGCACAGATGTTAGCTCAGGTCCAATCTTCCTCAGCAAAATAAAAAACAAAACATATAATTATGTATATAATTTTTTTTAACAAGAGAAAGAAAGATTGTATGAATAAGCTCCCTTGTACTTCATCACACACATAAGATGTTGCAAGACATTTAAAATTTTTTAATAAATAAAAATGTTTGAAATATTGAAAGCATATTCCATTAATGGGCCTGGTTCCATGGAATTTGGTAAAATTTTCCCCTTTAAGCCATACGCTATATTTCAATCCAGGAAACATTTTGAGGAATAATTCTTTAAAGCCTTTAAGTATAAACTTATAAATAAAAGTCCTTGTTTTGATTTATAGGTTAGATTCTTTTGGTAATGTGAAAGAATATAAGCAGACAAAAAAAATCTGAGTATTTTGGCTTTATAATTAGAATGGCTAAAATGAAAATGGGCGCCAGAATAAATGTTGCCAGGGATGTAAAGCAACTATAACTTTCACGGACTTCTGGTGGAGAGTAAATTAGTGTAATCACTTTGTAAATTTCTGTAAGAGCATTTACCAAAGCAGAACATACGCATAACTATATGATTGAGCAACTCCATCCAAGGTATATATCTAACAGAAATATATATGGATAGATAGAGAAATTTATATATATATAATATATATAAATTGTAAATATATTTATAATAAATATTTATATTTACTTATCCATTATTATATATTTATTACTTGTAATATAAATATTTATAATAAATATTATTATGAATATAAATATATAATTATATATATGAGACAGATTTATATAGAAATAAATAAATATAAATATATAAATATATATATATATATATATAAAACTCAAGGAACATATACAAGAATGCTCACAGCAGTGCTATTTATAATATACAACAGTGATGTTGCAAGTCAGGATAGTGATTACCCTTGGAGGGGAAGAGTGACTGGTAAAGCACAGAATAGCGATCTTCTGGGATATGAACTATGTTGTGTTTCTGCTCTGGGCACTGTGTAGATGGGAGTGTTCACAAGGATCAGCTCTGCATGTATGTTAAACTTAAAGAAAAAATGTTATGCAGGACTTTTATTAGTAATCATAACTCATTTAAAATATTACCATAAAGAATATCAATATTTCACTGAAAGCCTCAGTGCATTATTCAACTTTATAAAAATTGTTTCCTTAATTTGCCAGTATGTAATAAACTCTGAATGTCCATTTATATAATGCAAAGTAAGCTTTGAGCACAAATTAAATAGTCTGATTACCTCTGACATTTTGGCTCTGAATAAATCTCTCTGTGGTTTATAGAGGACGGTTTTCATTTCCCTGCAGGACCATCTCTGGGATATAGAACAACTCACTCAAATCATTCATGTCACCTTTGTACCAGTACCTGACATTCTAGAAATAGAATCATTATCAGAGAACTCCATCCTTGACATTTGCAATTATTCATATCAGGAAGCCTTTTAAAAGAGTTTTTATTTCTTAAAACCTTTAAAGAACATTACGCATTTTCAAAGAAGTGAAATATATCCCTTTGTCTGAAATTCATAATTATGTAAGTCACTTCCCAGTTCCAAAGCCCTTTTTTCCATGCTTTTTTAGGAGAAAAATGGATACCAGATTAAAGCTAGAAAACAGATAACTGAAGACTAACTCCAATCAATGAAATGTAACAGCAGACTACTTTTGGCTACATCAGTTCAAAAAAACATATTTAGGGTAAGAGAAGATCTTATGATAAATAGATCATTTTGATAATTGAAAAAATTTACAAAAAGATCTATGAGCCTCAAGTAATAAACTGGGACCCATAGAAGACAGTCATCAACATTGTTATATTATTAAAAAATATCCTTATGTACTGACTTATGTGTGTCAAAATGCTAGAGGATGGTATTATCTAGTCATTGTATATCCATTTCCTCCTGTACTCCACCGTCTTCTCTTGAATTTTTCCTTCAGTACCCCATCTTCTTGCCTTATTTCCCTTCTTCTAGTCCTCCATCATAAACCAAATACGTACCTAGCACCATTTATATGTTAGGCACTGTGCTAAGCCTTGGATGTATAAAGATAAGATCTTATGATCTAATGTGACTTTCCAATACAAGCACACACAAATTAATGTAGCTGTGGCAGGTAAAAAAATAAAACCAATGTATAAGGACATTAATTGAGGGGAAAATGTTACTGTCTCATATGTGTCATGGCAGTAGAACTTGAAATGGAAAATAAAAATAAAAGCAAAAATGTGAAAAATGGGATTTCTATTAGAAAGACATGGGATCTAATCCTGGCAGTGCTCTTTGTAAGACTGGACAGTTAAGTTACTTTACCCCTCTGATACTTAGTTTCCTCATCTACAACGTGGTGATATTAACACTTCTCCTTGTGGTATACAGGATTAAAGAAACCAAAATCAGTTCATGGATGTAAGGTCTATGAATCTATACAGAGATGCTCAATTTCTAAAAAATTAATTGAAGCTAGTAAGTAATTTGCCATAAAAGATATTATCATAATTTGAGGAGAATCAAATATTCTTATCAAGTTGTCCTAAAAAGAAGCTTAAGCATCTGAAGATGGTAAGTTAATGACTTTACTCCCTGTTTCTCTATATCAGCTACATAGCGTACATTTTTTCTCTTATTTGGCCACTCAGATCTGACTTCCTTTCTTCTTTTGGAGGATTCTTGCATTACGTGAGTACTGGGGGGAAATAGACCCTCGTCTCCAATCATAAAAACAAAAGCCAGATGAAACATCCCTAAGTCATGACCCCGCCATAACTATGAATCTTGAAGGAATGGAGTTGCAGTTGAGAAATTATTCACAAGAGGAACAGTGAACCCTCAAAAGTCCAGCAAGGGCTGAGGTGAAATGCTGACTGATGTAGCTGCCAGCTGAAGCATCCTAATCCTATTTTCCTGTAGCACTCTAATCAAATTTTCCTGAATATATTCAACAATGTGTGGCTCCTCATGACTCCTGTTCATTTTCCAGTCCTGGAGTTCCAATCTTCTCATTGATTCTGAGAGCTTTCAGAAATCTTTTTAATGAATTCATTTTCTCTTGAAATGAACCTGAGCCAGTTCTTTTGCTAACTTCCAGGAATCCTAATTGCCAGGCGGCATGCAACTGTTTAACCTTCAAACCTTCATGGGTAAGAAAGTCCTTCACTGTCATTTATGTTGGGAGCAAGCTGAATTAACCCCTCTTTTTTCCCAGCTAGCTGTCCTCCCTCCCATCCATCCGAAGACTAGCAAAAAGCACGGTGCAGATGCACTTTAGCCTCTGATGTTAAAACAATTTGTTTTTATATTTGTATCGTAACTCCTTCTATTTAAAATAGGGACTCCAAAATTCTTAAAAGAGATTCCATGAAGACGGGTTGATGGAGACTGTAAGAAATTCTCATATGCTTATCAATGAGTCTGTGCCTAATGCTTTCCAGTTTATAGGCAAGCTGATAGGAA